CCTTTTTATCCCAATTCTGTCTTCACTTGTACTTTTCTTGGATCTGTAGACTGTCCATTTTCAAGTGCTCACCAAGTAGATATCTGCTGTGAAAGGTATAGAATAGACTGGATCCTAACTGGATAGTTAGTTGTGAATATAGACTATAAATAAAGATGGAAGTAGCCCTCTGTGACATCACCTATAGATTTCTGAAGAGCAGTTTTGAAGCTCAGAGTGAGCTGCTCCACCGTCACCATCTTGGCCGTGCCTGACTCCGCCCCTAATTCCGGGCTAATTCAAAAAATGGTCAAAGAGGAGGGGTGTGTATGGAGCTGAGATTTCAGTTCATGCCGGTTTGAGGCAAGCATATGCTCACCTACCTGTCACTTAAAGTGGCCACACCCTCAATTATACGTACAGTTGTCATGAAGGAGGAAATTAGCTATACCAGGCTGTAAACATGTTTATTTCTGCTGTAAAGTTGGATATTTTAACTTGGGAGTCCATGGGGATTGACTGACTGTTGGAGCCAAACTCCAGTGGTATTTGGGGAGGTGCAGTTTTTAGTACTTCAGTGTTGGCTTTATTTTTCAGCCACGGAGGTGGTTGTGAGTTTGGTTGCAGAAGACTTAGCAGAGCTCCAACTACTTTTGGAGCATCTGACATAAAGGCTACTGTATTTTCCCAGCAGCCATACGTCAGCTCACTGTTGATGGGTGATTATGGATAGGAGGATGAGGTAAATGTCAGAAATGTAAAATGTTGGATCAAAGGTCAGGCTTTAATTCTAACATTGCCAAAATCAAAAGTAGCCAACATGAAAGAGGCAAGGCTCTGTGCCATAGAGACCTGACAGCACAGTATATGTGACAAAATATTCTTGTTATATTACTTCAGTGGCACCTGTGGGCATTTCACCGGCCTTCAAAATAAAGCAGATGGTGACTGCAGTATCCTTGAAGTCTGTCTGGGAGGCTGGACTCTGACCTTTGCGACTGTCAGCAGTATCACTAACATCTTTGTGACAGGGTAACGAAAAACAAAAAAAATCTTAACCAGCTGATCTTTGCACCTCCATATCGTTCCTTGAAGCCTTCCTATTGAAAGTAAATGCTTTCCATTAAAGCTGCAACTTATGTTTATAAGGTTTATATCAGAAAATGGTGGAAGATTTCCAACCATAAATGATCATCAAATGTCAAAATCTGAATTATTACATTCACTATAAGACAAGAAAAGCAGCAAATACTCACATTTTAGAACTTGGAGCCATCAAATAATAAATGATTTATTCATATGTGATTGTTTGTTGGAATGGTTGCAGCTCTGCTGTCAATCATCAGGGAAAAATATTACACGGAGTACTTCCTGTTATTTTGAAGAGTGTTTTGTGCCACTGTTGTGATAAGAGCTCTATAAATACATACTCATATAAAACAGCAGTCCTCACTGGCCACATTCAGAGGCTAACAATACTCAGTCTGCTCAGCCAAACCGTGGCAGCTCAGAAACTGGTGTGAAAAGCTTCAAAGCAAATTTGAAAAGAAAGAAATACACCTTCTCTTTAAAATCATAGGACGCTCACACAAACCACCGAAGCCCAGACAATCCTTAAATCTGCAGGTGGTTTCACACACTGACTGAATTGTCCTGAGCAGAAGAAACGCTCATCACATTTTTCTCTTAAGCCCTCAGTGCAAAGCACATTTTTAAGCCTGGTCATTGTCCTGAACATTTTGTATAATCCAAATATTTAACAAGATGTTTCATAATGAGGATTTAGACTGCACACGAAAGACGCCTCATAAGCAGGTGGATTATTTTAAAAGCTAATGTTTTATAGTAATGAAAGTATGCTTCAAAAATGGGTCATCTGTTGATAAAATAACTGAAATAACTGATTGCACATGGCAAACAAACAAACTTAAGGTGATTTTTTTTTAATGGATTTTTCATCAGTTTCATTATTTCATTTTTCATCATGTTACATATCAAAAATTATTTAACAAGTTTCTTCATGCCCCAAGTCTAATGCCTATGACGTGGAGAAGGGGCATCTTAAAATGTCTCCAGTTAAAATGGGACACTCAGTGGACACTCATTTACTCAGACTGCCTGATTGCAGATTGGATGGCTATCAAGTGTGCAGATTAGCAGTTTCATTAAGTCAGTGATCATTCTTTATCTTGGGCTGTTGATTCTTTGTGAAGTTTGATATTTATTGTCTGACTTGAACTGATTAAACATTAGCGTTATCGTCATGAGACAAATAATAATAATTATATTTATAATAATACATTACACACAGTTTGAGGTATGTATGCTACAGCAATGCAGCTTTTGTTGTGTTAAAACTAGCTTGTCCATTACTTTAGCAACTTTTCAATATTATTATTATTATTATTATTATTATTATTATTATTATTATTCTATGATCGCCCGGTCCTAACCAAATATATTCAGAAATGAAGGGTAGAGGACAATGAGTTATGTAACCTCTTGTGTCTTGCTATAGTGGTTGAATTGCCCTTGAGTTGTTTTGCAGCTGAAGTTGGCATGGAGATGCATCTGTCAAGTGGGCACAGATGGTCTGGTGGGACATCCAATATATCACTGAACCTAGATTCATGCTGAAACTAAGGCAGTACTTATCAGGCTGGAGAGACAATTGCATGCCCTAATTTCTTGATGCATATCTCTGCAGTGTCTTAATTGAAGCTTTTACTCATTGAAACAAACCCAGTATAGCTCTGATGTTAATCGGCTAAATGAGAAGACTCCTGTGTCTGGTTTGTTTTTAATTCCATGCGATCATGTTTGTCATAGGGAACAAGAAGGATCCCTCAGTAATGCTTGAGTTCATTCTTTTGTGGCGTCATTCAAATAGATGAAGTGTTTTTGAACACAACATGCATCTATGCAACTGCCTCATGCTCAAGTAGCACTTTTACAGCAGGGTTGTTCACCTGCTGCAGCAACAGTTTTTTCATCCCCAAGAGGTTTTATTCATTTAGTTCCACTATTTCACTCCATGAGAGGTTTATGTTTACCAGCTAGTTAAAGGAAATATCCACCTCGAAATGCTGAGGCACCATTGTCCTGTATCTGGGTATATTTTAGTCAGAGGTGGACAAAGTTCACCGCTCCATTACTTGAGTCAAAGTATAGATCCTCCTGGTCAAATATGACTCAATACAACAATACAAGTGAAAGTTGTTCAGTCAAATTTTTACTTCAGTTAAAGTACTGGAGTACTTCCTTTTAATAATACTGAATTATTCAAAAGTACAATTTACTTAACACTACTCAAGTTTGTGATTACTCTCTGAGTCGACACAAAATGTGCCACCAGCAGTCTTGCTCGTTTGTTGAAGGGCATCACTGGAAATTGAAGAATCCAGGAAAATGAGGCGTGTTAATAAAAAGTGGATATGACAAAAACATTTCTGCACAAGATTATTCCCTGAATTCACCAAACATCACGTTGTTGCTGTTTAAAGTGTCCAACATGCTGGGGTGAGAAATTCTGGTTTCTCTATAAACAGTCAGGACATTAAAACACACAGAGAGAATACATAAAGTGAATGCCTCTCTTACTGCAACCACAGACACAAAATTTGTTATTAAAGCAAATTTCTGCTCAAATAATGAGCAGCAATCATTTTCCAAATGATAAATATCATTCGGAAATGAAACTCAGCAGCAGTTCCTTCATTCTCATGTCTGACTACTGATGGCCTCTGGATACGAGACAGAAGCTATAAAATATTTACAGGCTCTCTGTCACCTTGAGACCACCGGTGTCACCATGTGCCTGGATCTCAGTGGGGAATCTGTTGCTAGGGTTATAGTAATTGATAGAAAACCGGCTCGTTAATGAAGATGGGAAATGCAAAGGTGGAGCTCATGTGATTGTCTTACTGTTTATCTGTTTATCAAGTCTCTCCCCTCAAAACTGTGGATTAAAACATGGAGCCATTTTCTCTAACTTCTGATCTCAGTGCAGATTAGGGACTTGTAGCAGGCGCCAGCTTGTTGCCAACCAGATTCTATGGCTCGCTTCCAGCTGCTCCCGTGACTGACATTATGTAACAGGATTCCAGTTGGCGACTCAGACATTTGGACGTGAGACTATTTTAAAACACACTTTATTTCCAGTGGCCAGTTACTATCTGATCGAGTCTAAGAGAGCTGGAGAATCGCGAAATGACAACAGCAGGAAACGATCAAAATAGGGCTGCATTTTATCAAAAATTCATGACTATTGTATTAGGAAAATACAGCACATTCCTCATACTATCTTTGAGGGTCATAAAAACTCTATTTATGTCACGGACACAGAACTTGTGGCGCCTACACTGCTGTATGTGCATTCGCATTTTTATTTCTTCAATTAATAAATAAATCTAAAAAAATAAAAAAAAAGAAGAATAGTAAAGAATGGTGGTCAAATCACAACATGCCAAAACCCAATGCTATTCAGTTTACAATGAAATAAAGAAGAAAAGCAGCAAATACTTGGCAAATATAAGAATCTAGAGCAAGAAAATGTTACTTTTAATCAATTATCAAAATTGCAGGTGATTAAATTTAATATTGTTTGATTGATTGATTTATCAATATTTTTTCTTCTAGCACTGCATCAGGTACACTGTCGTAGCTGACTCAACAAGATAAAGAAAATGCCGTCTCACACTTAAATGGTCTTAATATTCAATATGGGACAATCATATTGATTTCATTGTCTTTATCAAACTGTAAAATATGCTTTAGGTTGCTCTGTGGGTTTTTGAAGGAGAACCCTTTGTAACTGTGAAGGAGTAAAGTGAAGTGTGAGTTTTATACATTAAATCTGTTCAGTGTGAACAACATGGCGACTGTGGAACCTGAATATACATAATTAAACCAGATAAAACATGATTCCAATGCCTGAGGTTTCCTGGTTTGCAGGGACACACTGATGGACTGAACTTTTCCTCAAGCTGTTGTGTTTTTTTTTATTTTTTTTTTTGTTACAGGTTTCGAGAGAGGGAAGGAGGACCTCTTGCCTCTGCCTTTGAAAGAGGACTCACATTCCATATCTAAGAGCAAGGTAAGATGGATCGCTCCGCTGTGATGGGTGGGAAGGAATGAGTTGATGCTTTGGTGTGCGTGTTGTAATGAGACCAGAGAATTTGGGAATTAGTGCAAGTGCTCTTTCCTTTTCCCAGTCTAGCCTCCGGCGTCAGACAGCCTACAATGAGATGACTCACACGTCATATATGCTGTACACATCAAACATTTAGCTGCTAAAAATCAAACTCCATCCTTCTTTCAAGTGAGCTCAGTGTGGAGGAGGAGCGTCTGGTTTATTTGCCGAGGTCCACATCAAATAGGCTTGTCAGTGAAAGTGTGGGCGTAAGAGTCACAGCAGAGACGTTTGCATCAGACAAGAATCCTCTTCAGTTTTTTGTTATGATTTTCAGGAATAAAAACATAGGACAGGATGATCATTTTCAGAGGTTGGCCCGCCTCACAAAAGGTCTCTCTCTGCGAGCTGTTCCCAAAATCAAGACAAGAGTTTGATGAATCCTTATCTGTGGACTTCAGTTAGTAATCTGAATCAAGAACATCCGCCATCTTAGAAGCAGAGTTAAGCCATGGGTGCGTCTCCCTCAGTCTTCGCAGGAAACTCTGGGAGGCTTCAGCTGCGGCTTCTTGTTCATGTACCGTTGATCTTTCTCCAGCCCTGCCTGTGGGCGTTTAAGGCCTTAAGTAGCCCCACTTTAAGACTACACACACATCCCCGTCTGCCTCTCCACTTTAAATGACTCCAATTGGCTTGTGAAGGGACCTGGCAGAGACACACCTGCTCCGGCATTTATAGGCTTCATTCCACTAACTGAGCTAAGTTTGGGCTACCAGGGAAGCAAAAGAAAAACAATCATTTCTAGATGATGTTTTCCAGTGATGCTGCAGCTCTAAATATCTAATGTAATGTCCTCATTTCATCGGAGTCTGTGTGTTGATTATATCACTTGTGTTAACAGATTTATTATTAAGAGAGGGAGCACTCTGAGGCTTAGATTGCTTTTAGTCATTTAGCTGATGATTGTTATGTAGACTGCACACATTTTAAAACACAAATCCTGACGTGAAAGCTTTGGTTATAATCATCGGACATGTCTGAGTGGTGCTTTTCTCAGCTCAACAGGACACATGAACAAATTATAAATATACATATAATAACTGAAGATCTAATGTTTAGGGAAAAGAGATATTTTGATGTCTTCAGAGATTCATCACTTATCAAATTTCTGTTATTAACCCCTTCTTCTTTCCCCCTGTGTATTCACAGTCTGAAACAAAGCTGTACAATGGCTCAGACAAGGATGTGTCCACGTCTGGAGGAAAGCTCACCAAGAAAGAGTCTCTCAAGGTGAGTGAGATTAAATCAGCTTAAGTCTCGAGGATCCGGACACTAATTCTCAACACAGGCAAAATGAGTCTTAAAAATACCCTAATATGGAGAGTGTTACGTAGAAGTCTAATCCCCGATGTTCGTCATGGAGTGACGTTTCACACTGTGTTCACTCTGTAAGTCATTATGAATAAAAAAAAGTATATATTAGGGGCTGAACTTTATAGTTCCTTCCACCACAACACAGAAGAGGCAGGAAACATGACATTTAAATAAAATGCAGCAGATACCTCCCACTGCAGTCAGAAGGTAGCAGGTGTTATTTTAACAGAGACAGTGAGGGAGTGTGACTCCACTCTTATTTGCAGCCAAATGCAATTCAGTGTGAAAGCAAGTGTGGAACATTATTATTCACCGTCACGTAGATTGATGTTCAAAGCTTTGTCCACATCTCTGTTCACCCTGCAGGTGCAGAAGAAAAACTACAGGGAAGAAAAGAAGAGAGCAACCAAGGAGCTGCTCAGCACCATCACTGATCCCTCCGTCATCGTCATGGCCGACTGGCTGAAGGTGAGAATAAGAGTTAGTTTATTCCCGTGTGTAGGTCCTGTATGTCAATAACAGCCCAAGGCTGTGGAACACACTACCTTTAGATATCAGAGAAGCAGCTCACTAAGTGTTTTTAAAAGAAAGCTTAAAACTTATGTTTTCACATTAGACTTTAACTATCTCTTTACATTTTACACTCTGCTCCACACAAGCACTTCTTTTAAATGCTGTTGTAAGTATTGTAATATATGTCTTACTGGTTTTATGCATTCTATGTAATCCATTTTTAAATTATTTTGATTATTTATTAATTTCATGTTTTCATCAATGTTTTTTTAATTTTGTTATTATTCCATCTCATTTTACATCAATGTTTTTAATATGTTTTTATGTTGATTTTATGTCTTTTCATGTGAAGCACTTGGTGCATGTAATTTCTTTGTTGTAAAGCGCGTTGTGCTGTATTTCTTGTATGAAAGGAGGGATACAAATAAAGTTTAGCGTTATTATTATTCAAGATAATTCAATTTCACACTCCATATAACAACCTACATGAAAAAGTTTGGGAAATTACGGGTGCAGGTACAGATTTAACATAAAGACATTTTGTCTTAGTCATAAAAGATCTTTTATATTTATATTATTTATTTTCACATAGATTTGTGCATAGTCTTTTTGGTCTTTGTGCAGTTACAAAGCAGTTAATTGTTTCAAAATGTTTTAGTATGAGCTCGTCTAATGAACATCTTTACAGAAAATAAACAACACACTCCACATGTTGATAAGGAAATCATTACATAATGATTGTTATGGATTCATATTTTGAGTCATAGAGAGGGAGAGAGAAATAGGGTGTTTTGGGTTTTGGGTATCGGTGGTTTTTTAGGGCTTAGGTAGAAAACAGAGGTGGGGTACGGGGGAGTGGGTGTGGGATCGGCACCGTCCACTACTGGGAGAGGCTCGCAGTACTGGGAGTTGGAAGTTCTTTGGTTTGTTTTGTTTTGTTCTGGTCGAGGGATACAGGTTTGCTGTGTAGATGGAACGTGTTTTGTTTTTGTGGTCTGGTTTTGTATAATCATTGCACAGTGATACACGGCTGCTCCTGACAGTGGTCACGCTCCAGAGCTTTTGTGCTGATTTGTCACAGTGGTCTAAAATGGATGGTTTTTTTGGCCAAAGGAAACAAACCAGTTGTTTTACAGTTACAGTATAAACCACGATAAATATGTTGCATTTACATTTTGGCTAGTTTGAATCCTCATGTAGCATAATACAGAGGGTAACTTTAGCCAGGTGAGGTTTCAGAATATGTGGCATTCATATGTTTGTGTTTCCCCTCTTAGATCCGTGGCACTCTGAAGAGCTGGACCAAGCTGTGGTGTGTGCTGAAGCCAGGGGTCCTGCTCATCTATAAAACCCACAAGAACGGCCAGTGGGTGGGAACGGTGCTGCTCAACGCCTGTGAGCTGATCGAGAGGCCCTCCAAGAAGGACGGCTTCTGCTTCAAGCTCTTCCACCCGCTGGAGCAATCTATCTGGGCCGTCAAGGTCAGAATATACTGTACCTTTAACAATACAGGATTTACACTAATCAGTGATATTTTTATGATGATGATGGTTTTCAGCAAAGGTGGAGAAAAAAAAAATGTTCTTAACAGACTTTAACAGACAAGAAAGGACACATGGATACAGGTAATCCAAGCTGCAGAATACTTGGTCTAGTCACGGCAGCAAAGAATAAATGTCTCAGCCATTGAACAGAGTAAAAGGCGTGAGTGTGAATAAATGACAGGTTTTTACAAGTCTTTTACAGTATTAATGGTACCATTGAATAGCAGTTTCACCACTGGGAAAAGGGCACTTCTTAAAACTAGTTCTGCTACGTCGTGAAAATGTAGTTATTTTTGAAATTGTGCCCAATGAGCAGAGAAGTCTGAGAGAGAGGTTGTGATATTTCCTGTCGCTCAGAAGGAAAAAAAAAAATCCTGCAACATCTCAAAGAAAGTGAGCGCGGTGAAACTCGTTGCAGCATTGCATTCTTTTAGCAGGCGCTTAGCTTCAGCCGCCTTTTCCATTCATCTCCTCAGCACTATAATTCAAGTCCCTGATATCTGATCTCAGCTTTATGTTACTCAACTAGTTTTCCTCCATATACACTGGTATTTTAGTTACAGGGCAGAGTGTTCAGCTCTTAGTTTGAGGACACCCCTCTTCGCTTCCTTGGAAGGCCAGTGGGTGGGTTTGGAAAGATGAGGAAGTACAGCCTGTAGTCCAAGAGCGAAATCTGATGTTTTTAAGTTTATGCTTGAATAGAGAGAACACAGAGCGAAATTGAATGTCATTCACACACATGTTCTCTCCCCATTAGAGGAGGGGTGACTCAAGGTGAAAATCTGCCAATTTGGCCTTTAAAGGAATAGTATGACATTTTGGGAAATAGCTAACCTAGCTTTATCCAAAAGTTTCTTTAATCCATTCAAGAATCAAATTGTGAGAGCAACAATTTTTTTTTTCCTGAAGTAAAATGTCTTGCACATCACCTCTTGGAAAACAGTAATGTCTTGTCTTTGGGTTTTCTCACCTTTGGACAGAGCCAGGCTAGTTGTTCCCCCCTGTTTCCAGTCTTTATGCTAAGCTAAGCTAACCAGCTGTTGCCTGTAGCTTCATATTTACTGTACAAACATGAGTACTGTGCACCATGAGTATCAATCTTCTCATCTAACTCTCAGTAAAGAAGCAAATCAGTGTCAAACTGTTCCTTTAAGTGTGCTTCATTCATCTTTATATTGCAGTGGAAAAAGGCTCTTATCTTATTATCCCATTATTTATCATAATCAAATGATCATTGGAAAGCTGGAGAAGAAGAATAATGCTGATGGTTTGTTATGCAGACGAGTGCAGCCTGTTTTTCTTTCTAATGAGGAATGAAACAAAATGAACACAAACAGATCATCAGGAGTTTCCATTAAAAACAAAATCCTTTGCTCCCTGCAGTTAGAACAAATAGTGACACAGATGTGGACGTGAACTGAGTTAAGATCAAGACACAGAAAATTATACATGCAGCCATTTCCATATTTGGCAGCGCACATTTGTCCATTTGTTCCAGTGTTTGCAGCTCTGTTCAGTCATCCACTCCAACTGTGATTTAGTTGTCCTCACTGATTTCATATTTCAAGTGTTTTTCCTTTTGTTCGTGATGTGAAAAAGCTTGAATTACAATTATCGCTCTGTGTTTTGGATTACAGTGTTCCTTCTCTCCCCACTATCCTCTTCATTGCTGAAATAAACAGCTCACTCCTTCAGCTTCTGTCCCCTCTGACCCCTCTCAGCACATTCGCATAATGACATACTCAGGGGTCTAGATTTCTTTTATTCGCACATATAAATGATTAAAAACTGAAAAAGAAGAAGACAAAGACAAACTCACATAGGAAATCTTATAACTACCTCAAAAGAAAAAGAGACATAGATCAAAATGATTCATCCACCAATCAAGACACTGGGTCAGAGTAACACCCCTCCTAAACTCTGGTTCTCATTCTCAATAGGGTCCGAAAGGAGAAGCAGTGGGCTCCATCACGCAGCCATTACCCAGCAGCCACCTGATCTTCCGTGCTGCCTCTGAGTCAGATGGTAAGAGACAGTTTCTCATTCACACCATTTATCTTGAGTCTTCACAGTCTCTGTTTACATTGTGTGATAAACCCATAAATTGGCATCACATTGGTACCAGCTTCATAAAGCAAAATTATCATCATCTCAGTCCTACGTAAACCGCCAGGATGTGGCCTTTTGTGGGAACGACACTAATCCTAATCTTTGTTTTTTAAACCAGTGCCAGTACCTTAAGGTATGTGTGTGTGAAAAGCCTTATTTTGGCTTTGAGAATCGGTGTTTTCACTGGAGAAACCTGTGGAAACCTGACTTTGTTTTTTTCTGCAGCCTGCTTTGTTTCTCTCCACTGACTGATTCTTTAAACTGAACATTAATGTCTGTGTGATTGTTAGACAGTCGTGACCAAACACTGTCGAGCTTACAGTCACGTTGTGTCAGGTCACATTTTTATTTATATTGCACCAAATCATAACTGTTATCTCAAGGCATAGCGCAGGTCTAGACCTTCTCTTATGATAATATAATTTACAGAGACCAAGAACAATTCCCACCAAAGCATTACTTGGCGACAGTGGGGAGGATAAACTTCCTTTTTAAGAGGCAGAAACCTCGAACAGAACCGGACTCAGGGAGGGCGAAGGTTCACCAAGCAATGATAATGTGTGTGTGTGTGTGTTTACTGTAAATAAAATCCTTAGTAAATGAGCATCCTGTACCTGGTTTCACAAAATGTAAAATAAAAATCGAAACAAAGCACATTAGTGAACAAGTGAGTGAAGGTTTCAGCCTCAGCCCAGCGCACTCTGTGTCTCTGTCCGTGGTGCTGAAAAATCCAGCCCACTCTCTCCCTCATCCCTTGAGTCTCTGTCCGTGGTGCTGGAACATCCAACCCAGTCTCTCCCTCATCTCTTGAGTCTCTGTCCGTGGTGCTGGAACAGTCGAGCAGGAGCTAAATCAAACATGTCTATAACAGCTTCCTATTTTCTGCCTAGTGCAGAATATTTTCTTTACACTAATTTATTTCTGTGTCTAAATGTGTTAAAATGTATGCACTACATCTTGTCCTGAAAAATGCCAAGAGAAAAACACACACAGTCTCTGTTTTTTTTTATGAGAAAGATTTTTTAACCTACGCTCTCTGGATTGATATCTGGAGCAGAAAAACCAAAATCATCTGAAAAAAACACCAAAACAAACCAAGTATAGTTTCTGCAGTTAAATGATGAATTTAAATCTCTTTCTCAGGCCGATGCTGGATGGACGCCTTAGAGCTGGCCCTGAAGTGCTCCAGTCTGCTGAAGAGGACCATGATCCGCGAGGGGAAGGAGGACATGAGCACAGTCGCCACTGGCGGAGAACACTCCATTAATTTCTACAGCCTCCTCCGAGCCCACAACATGCATGGCTTCCAGTGGGTAGCAAAATGAAACCTGAATTCGCAATTCAGTTATTTCCCTTTTAAGTCTTTAAAAATTTGATGAACTTCCTCACCACTCTCTCTACATTTCTTCCTCCAGGTTCAATGACAGCGACCATCTGAAAGACCCAGACTTGTACTCAGACAAGTCAGACCGGGAGGGAGAGCAGGACCACGAGGAGTCAGACCCAGAAGGCCTGGAGAAGAGTGAGGAGAGCGACAGCGACACGTCAGAGCGCCAAGATGACTCCTACATTGACTTGGATCCTAACGAACATCTGCGGGAAACCCCATACCTGGAACAGTCCCATGAGGAACTGGGAGAGGTAGGAGATGAAGTCCACTGTTCTTATACAGAGCCTTCAATAACAAAATGAAAAGTAGCTCAGTGGTGGTTGCAGCATTAGGACATGGTCTCATAGGATTTCTAGCAGCCATTTTCATCCTCAGCTTGAATTAAAACATCAGTTAAATGCTTTTTTCTTCCAAAGTTTCTTGTTAATGAGGAGAAATTAGCATGTTCATCTGCTGGGGCGATTAAGAAATCTCTCTCACGGACAGGCTTTGATCACCGTCTGTGTGGGTTGGTGTGCGTGTGGGTTTCTGTCAGGGACTGCAGTGGTATGACAACAAGTGTGAAAGTGCTAATATGTATTTCCATACTGATGAGATCTGCGTTTGACAGCTTATTACTTAAACACTTAGTGAAGCCAAGGGATAATGTTTATAGTTAGGAGCTAATCAAAGCCTCCTTTTGCACTCACAGCCACATCAAACCTTTAAGCCGGTGGAGACTCATGCAAGAATGTGAATGTTTCTGAGGTTCTGTGTAAATGTCAAGTCAGGTTTTATTTATATACACCAGTATCACAAATCACAGACTTGCCTTTAAGGGCTTTACAACCTGGACAGTATACAACACCGTCTTCAAATCGGATGAAGAAAAATTCCCCCCAAAAAAAACCTCAGGAAGAACAACAGAGGTGTCTGTCTGTCCCTCTCCCGGGACAGACAGACATGCAGCAGATGTCATGTGTACAGACTAGAGCAAAATAGTAGATTTAAAGTTAGAAATGAAAAATGCTAAGATCCGGGAGGACGTTGACCAACTTCCAGGTGTTGCCACTGAGATAGGACCTGAGCCACATGACCTCCTCTTCACCATGAAGACCTGGAGAAAGGACGGACTACATATACAAACACATAGGAGCCAAAACCAAGCAGATCATTCACACGTCAAGGAGAAGGAAACAAATACACAGAGGAAGAGAGAGAGACAAGGAGGAGGCTGGACTGGATGAAAGAAGCACAGAGAATAAGCCAGGAGAGGGAGAGAAGTCCTAGCACAGAGAGTCTGGGGCTCTGGGGGGGTAAAGAGAGAGAGAGAGTCTGGAGAGAGAATGGTACAAGGCTTGAAGTAATAAGAATAAGCCACTGACTGAGTCTGCATAGGAGTGAGTGAATTGTAAGATGCTACATGCACAAAAACATCATGACCTCTCTCTACCACTGTGTGCTTTTCCTTTCCTCAGGCTGGGGAGGCTGCCCAGACAGAGACGGTATCAGAGGAGAACAAATCTCTGATCTGGACTTTGCTGAAGCAAGTCCGACCTGGCATGGACCTGTCCAAGGTGGTTTTGCCCACCTTCATCCTGGAGCCAAGATCTTTCCTTGACAAACTCTCTGACTACTACTACCACGCAGACTTCCTGTCAGAGTAAGTCCATCCTCTTTGTTTTCCCGAAGGCTTTTTGTGTTCAACAGGAATTTAGACTTCTTTAACTTAACACCTTTTTTCCTCACAAAAAAACATCCTGCAAACCACTTAATGCAGCAAGCCTCTAAAAACTATTAAATGTTGATATGAAGAAGGTCGCATATTATATAAAGGTAGATGTCCATGTGTTGTTTGATTATAAAGCAGGTCTAGGTTCTATATTAATACTGTGAAAGTATCAAAGCGCTCAGTCCACAGAGAAATGCACACAGCCTGTATTCAGAAACTGAGCCTTAAAACCAGCCATCAGGGCTTCTGTAACTTTGTGATGTCACAACAAAGCAGTCACCTGCTCTCAGCCATGCTCAAAGCTGACTGTTGTTAATAGAGCTCCAGAGAGAAGCCTGAGAGAGGAGATGTAAAACTACATTGAGATGGTTTTTGGTTCTTAAAACCACAAATATATCTTCTAATGGATCAACACTTCAAATAAAACACAGGAGAAGAGGAAAATATGGAGCTTAAGTTTTAAAGGATGCAACAGGTGTGTTTAAACAAGCAAAATTAAAAAGTGAAGTTTTGAAATTCTGAGCTCATAAAATGAGGTGATTGTTTGTTGTTTATGATGTGGTCCTTTTCTTTTTTCTCCATGTGTCCTCACGTTTACTCTGCATTTAACATCAGTACACATATATTTGTTTAATTCCACTAATTTACAAGTGATTTCTTGTGTTTGCAATGTGCATTAATAGTTGAAGTTGAGTGACAGATTTATAATTTGACATATGGACTCAGAAAGCAAGACGTATACAGGGTGTCTTTTCTGACTATGAAGTGGTTCTGTGGATACTAAAAGCTGGGAAAGATAATGAAGAGAATTTGAAGTTGTACCCACTGAGTTAAAGAGCTTGTGTTCTGTTTATGTCACTGTCAGGGCTGCAATCGAAGAGAACGCCTACAACCGGATGAAGAAGGTGGTGAAGTGGTACATCTCTGGATTTTACAAAAAGCCAAAGGTCAGCATTGTAAACATGTTCACCTGACTTCATGTTGATGAGCTACATAGATGATACAGACTCTTTTATATACAATATGTTATGCTAACATTATGTCTTTGTTTTAATCCACAGGGGTTGAAGAAGCCTTACAACCCAATTATAGGGGAGACGTTTCGCTGCATGTGGCTCCACCAGAAGACCAACAGCAAGACCTTCTACATCGCAGAGCAGGTAACAGCAGCTCTATGATTTCACCAAAGATTGAGCTGATTGGTCAACAGCTATCAGCAGTTGGTGATATGATGAATCAGTGGCTCATGGTTGTTTTGTCTGATGTAAATCACACAAATGAGTTCCCTCAAATATCTACCTCATCAGAATTGAAGCTGACTCACTCACTGTGTGTTTTCAGGTATCCCATCATCCTCCAGTGTCAGCCTTCTATGTCAGCAACAGGAAGGATGGATTCTGCCTCAGTGGCAGCATCCTGGCCAAGTCCAAGTTTTACGGTACAGACACGATGAAAATCCAATCAGTGCTGTCCACAGGAACGTTAAATTAAAGAAGTATTTATTCAGCTGTGGGGTTCTGTCGTTGCTGCTCAAGCTCTCTATTCTTTACTTTTTAGGAAACTCCCTGTCGGCCATATTAGACGGGGAGGCTCGGCTCAATTTTCTCAACCGAGGAGAGGACTATGTGATGAACATGCCCTATGCCCACTGTAAAGGTCAGAGTGCACCCTGGGCACCCACAGTAGATTGCTGCAGAGGCCAAACAAATACAGACTCATGTAACAGTGAAATAAAACAGAATGAAGGTTTGTCATATTTGTCACGTATCTGTTAGATACCAAGGTATATTTACTGTACCCAGACCAAGACTTGGATGTTATTCTGGGTTGTGGTTCTATTTTCTGATAGACTTTGAAATGTCAGTGCACTCCAGACAGAAAGAGAGAGAATAACAAGCAATCCAGTCATTAAGATTTCAGTGTGCATCTGAGTTCTCCAGTCATCTGAGCTGACTGAAATTTCTACTGGTGCTTGTTGATCTGATAGGCATCCTGTATGGCACCATGACCCTGGAGCTGGGTGGCCAGATCACCATTGCATGTGAGAAGACGGGCTACAGCGCTCAGCTGGAGTTCAAACTGAAGGTACAACTGTGTTATCCGGTTAACTGGTATAAGAGTAGAAGATAGCTTTGTGGTAGAATAAGACATTTAGACAATTAGAGTTGTCCAGTAATAAACTTCTTAGTGAAGGGAACTCACTCTCAGGTTCTCACATGACTTCTCTGAATGTCTCGCTCCTCCACGCCATCACCAACTCTATTCCACTCCTTCACCCTCCCTGAAAACATCCTCCATACCTTTATTCACCTACTGCTTTATCACAAATCACATTTATCATGAACCAGCGACAGGTACAGAGAGCACAAACGGAAATCAACACATTTCCTTTTAAACTACTGCTACTAGTTAGGATATGTTGGGTCATTAGTCTAGATCCGATATAGATATTAATTTTTTTTTTTTTGAATCATTAAAAAAAATGACTAGAAATGTTGTAATTTTCATTCTGCAGTGGTGAATCTTTATGACGCTCATACTGAAGAGCAGAATTCATTTGTATAGTTAGTAAGTTTGTTTAAAGGTTGATGGTAGTTGCTATAAGAAAAATGTTGTTAAATGGTTTTAAAAAATAGGAACATGCAGCAGAGCTTGAACACAACGTTTTAACATACTACAGACACAATGAAGCACAGGACTTTTTTTCCACTGTAACTGTATGTGTTGCGTATATCTCTCCCTCCCTCCCCCTCTTTCCTTCTCCTTTCCTTCCTCTCCCATCCTTCACTTCCCTCCTTCTACACCTTGCTTTATCTCTCTTTTGCTGTCCTATCCCATCCTATTTCCTATACCCTCCTCCTCCCTGCCCCTCCTGTCTGTTTCTCTCTCCTCCAGCCGTTCCTGGGCAGCAGCGACAGTGTCAACCAGATCTCTGGAAAGATCAAGCTGGGGAAGGAGGTGTTGGCTACGTTAGAAGGACACTGGGTGAGACACATTTTTCTACTGACGGCTGGTTTGTTATGGAAGGAGTAAAACCCTCCTGCTGGTAGGAGGTGTTTTTCATTGGTTTTCTCATTCCTTTGCGCTGCTTTCTTTGATTTGTCTTTCTTGTGAGAACTGTGTCGGGACTAAAACCTTGTTTGAAAGATAGTCGAATAATTACAGCTCTACAGTGATGACAAGACTTCACGTCAAACAACAAAGCTGTTATTTGTTGAAAAGAGATGAGAGATTTTGATTCCACCCACAGGACAGCGAGATCTTCATCAACGACAAGAAGACGGGGACGGTGGACACTTTCTGGAACCCGACACAAGAGCTGAGACAGAGTCGACTGACCCGCTGCACCGTCCCACCAGAGGAGCAGGGAGAGTGCGAATCAGAAAGGTACATATTACTTTATCTTTTATCTGCACCTGCTTTTTCTGAAAATTAGAATAGAATAAAGACACGTTCATAACAGCATGTTTTAGTTTTACCTTCACTGGTGGACGAACTCGATGACGTCGTCCTCTCTCTCTCTGTCAGACTGTGGCAGCACGTGACCCGGGCCATCAACAACAAGGACCAGACGGAGGCCACCAACGAGAAGTTCATTCTGGAGGAAGTTCAGAGGAAGTCGGCCCGCGAGCGGAAAGCCAAATGCGAGGAGTGGATCCCTGCCCTGTTTGAGCAGGACTCCATCACCGGAGAGTGGCATTACAGATATGCCGAGTGAGTGACCACTACTACTACTACCACAGTTCCCCTGCTGCCTGTGAGCTGACATTAGAGAACAGAGCTCCTTTACATCGACTGCTTTAAACAAACAGAACTCGACCGGGTGAAAACAGGTTCAGCAGTGATGAACATTTAACATGAAAGATTCCTTAAATGTAGTTACTATGACTTAACCACAATATGGACTCAGTGGGTCATTTGAACAAGAAACTTGTCAGTGACTTAATAAGACACTTTCTATATGAGCGGAAATATATATTTGGCATGAATGTACTGCAGTTTTAGGACTTGTACTGTCTTCACGTCTTCCACGTAGTAGTAATGTTCAGCAGTTTAGTTTAAATCATCTTCCTTGAGTTGTCCAATGTGACATGGCGCCATCTAGTGGTGATTCCCTGTAACTGTAACAGGGTTGACGTCCAGCCTGCTGTCATGGAGGTGTAGATCAATAGATTCTGTAAACAGCTTTTTGTGTAGTGTATGATTGACAGGAAATCCATGTAGGTAGCAGTGTAATGAAAATGTTTTTCACTGGTTAAAAAAATGTCAGTAATGTGCAGGTGAAATGATTTGGATCTCTGTAGGATTTTTTTTTCTCTTTTGTCTAATCTCACATCCATCTTTGCTTTTATTCTCTCTTTGTTTCTTTATCTGCCCCATTTTTCTTTTTCTCTTCTTGTCTTAGTTATATTTTCTTTAGTTAATGTATTTATTTGCAATCGTTTAAGTATGTTTTACTACATTGTCCTTCTTCCTCTCTCTGACTCCTCATCTCCTCCCCAGCACGAGGCCCTGGGATCCACTCAACGACCTGATCCAGTTTGAAAAAGACGGCTGTATCCAGACCAAGGTCCGACACCGCACCCCTATGGTACGTTCTGGCAGTCTTATTAGTCTGAGTAACCAGGGGCCGCGGAGGGACAATTGCAAGTGCCAGGTAGGTTGTCCCGATCGAAAACCGCCATTTAAAAAAAAAAAAGAAAAATAAAAGCATCTCGCCGCCTCAGCCACCTTCACCGCAGCACCCGTTGTTGCACCGTCTTCATTGTCGCTTCTTCTATTTGTGTCGTCATCGCTGTGCTGCCACCGCCGTCATCGCCTCTGCTCCTTTTGTGTCTCTTTTACCTCTATTTTTTCTGTTGTCGCTCTGGCACCTGCTGCTCTCTCTGTATGGGAGGGAAGGGCATGTCACACTGCATCATAACGTAAGTGGATAACGAGGTTCTTCATTCATTTTCTCACCTTTTTGAAATGAAAATAACAATTCAACACAAAGAAGTACATGTCCCACACCAGCAGTACATGGAGGCACTGTTTGCCTGTAGGCTCCAGATGTACTTGTGACTATGAAGTTATTAAGTTATAGTCACAGCAATGATGAGAACTTCTCCACCATACTGTCACTACTGGATACTGAATAGAGAGTGACTTAACACAATCCCAATTTATAAAGGCACTCTAGTCAACCCAGCAGTTTGCCATTTAGCTCAACAAAATGTCTTTTATAACTACATTTCCTGTCAACTCTACAGTCTCCCTGCAGTGAAGTGGAGGCAGAATCTATTGCTACAAACCAAATATTTATAATGACATTTATGAACCTTCATGACTGTTTAATACGGTGGCCCTGAGAGCTCAACGCACTGCAAATTAAGAAAACACATGTAAATAGACAAAACACAAATTCAGAAAACATCTTCATCCATTTGAAAACACATGCTGCAGATACTCACAACACAACAGAAGTGTTTTCCAGGGGACACTAAAAAGTGATGAACCTGGCCAGGGCGCACCTATTGTTCAATTCTTTTAACGTAAAAGGTGACAAAGCATTCAACAAGTGCGTGTTTGAATTTATTTGTTTTGTCTAATTGCATGTGTGCATTGAGCTCTCAGGGCCACCGTAGTATAAGCATAGTTCTTCAAGTATATTACAAACGACCGTGACATCATTTGATATCAGTACAGTGTGAGCTTTGCAATGTGCAATTTTATGGCACCTCACTTTAAAGGAGTTTTAATCAATATTTTTTTCAAAACTAAGAAAAGATATCATTATGTGTAATGTGAAAGTAGTTGCTCATGACAACCTTGTAGAGAATAATCACCAGCTCTGCAGTTCCTCTCAGCTCTACAAAGTGTCATCTTTCTGCTCAATGATTTGGTTTCTCAGCCCACATCTTCTCTGTTTTGGTCCAGTAGGCAGTGAAAAAGTCCTAATAAACACATGTACAGTCCCTGTCCAGCACCAAATGGTAGACAGACAAAGTTAGCAACTAGCTAATGAACACAGTGGAGCATTCAGCAGCTAAAAAGCCAGATATTTCCCTCAGGAGCTGGTCGAAATCCAACCAAAAGAAAATGTAATGCCCATTTATATCAACTCATCAAAGATTTAAAAATTTATTTCCCAGACAAAGTCCACAAGAAAGAACAGCCTCATCAGCTTTGTCTATCACACCAACAACAGACCAGTGTCGTCAGTAACTGGCTGCTTCAAAGTGGCCGCCATGCCCTCCTCACCTTTCACCTGTCCTTGTCTTCATCGTGTTTATTTCTCTGTTGTGTTCATTAATGGACTCCCAACTTTGACTTTAACTGAGCTGCTGGTCGTTCGTGTTATGCTCAGAAGCTAAAGGCTGCTGCACCACAGTCATTAAAACTGCTGGCTGATTGTTTGTCCTCTTTTTGTATGTGTCTGTGTTCAAAGTAACCTCCTGCCAAGCGCCCAACCAGTGAAGTTTCTCTCGAGTGGATAGTTATCTGCCACCATCAGTGCTTTGAAGTTTTGGTTTAGATCTGTCAGACTTTGTCTCCACTGGGCACAAACAGCACAGACACTGACTCTAAGTTCTCCATGTCAGACAGGTCCCTGATTGGCTGCTATATACATACATATCCTAAAAATAGTTATTAAACATTATCTCATATATCTAGAATAAACCTTTTTTTTGTGCACTTGAACGTTTTGACCTTTTGGTGTTTGTCATATACATATAAAATGTTTTTCTGCTGCCAACCTTGAGTCAACATATTTTGTCTCAGTGCATCACATTAAAAAAAGCACTAAGAGTCAGAGCTGTAATCCATTCAGAGTTTAATCCCTTTGAACTGAATTATTTTAACGTCCCAGCTCTTGGCAGGTTTGGTTGATTTTGGATGCTGAGTGTTCAAGTTGAATGTAACCTATTGATGTACCAGCATGCATTGCATTGCACAGCTGTCATGACTGCACCGACTAGCATGTTTGTGTGGGAGTGTGTGTGTGGGGGGGAACTCTTGCATCACAGCATCATTTTGTTGTGTTGATGTGTATATAAACAATTCTGTTCATTTCTTTGTCCTTGTGTTGATGCTAACACACAGTATGTTTGTGTGCACTCTTATCTGATTGTAGCTGGTGTATGTGGCCTATTTTATGACCTATTTTTATTTGCATGTTTGTGTGTGTTTATGTGTGTATCTGTGCATGTCTGCGTGCGTGTGTGTGTTTGTGTGTAGGTAACGGTGCCAAAGAGGAAACACAAGAGTGACAAGCCCAAAAGCCCAGAGAGCGGCTGCTCGTCACCTGAACCCGACCGTCAAGACTCGTCTGGCAGCGAACGTGAGTTGTTAACACTCAAATACAATTGTAGAAACGTGAAAACACTCTGCTTTTTATGGTAAAAGTCAATATTTGATAATAGTGAAATATAACATTTAGTCTAAATATCACAGATACTGTAAACTTTTATTATTACTGCCCAATAATCAGGTAAAAAAAACAAACTTGATGCTAAAACTTGGGCTAAATTTGGTAAAAAAAATTTAATATTTTTGGCTGGACCACAACAGCAGAGCCAGCCCTATAATCTGGAATGTCCCTGACTGACTGTCTGACTGACTGACTGACTGATCATATTTCCACCACTGGTAAGTGGAGTTGGAGTTTCTGGCACAATAAGGGGGGTGTTTACAGCTGCAGTGTTGCCAATTTAGCTCATTGTCTCTAGATTGAGACTTGTTTTCAAACAGACTGGTTATAAACCTGGTTCAGGTCTGGACTGTGTATGGATGTCGACCGGGGGCTTAGGGCTACACCTCTTGTTACGGGCAGTATACTGAGCCGCACTGGTTTTCTGGCTGCTCTGGAACTGCAGGGAAGAGGAGGAGCACTTCCAATACACTGAGCCTCACCTCCATTACAGCAAATAAACTACTTTACATGTATAATTATTACTAAAGGAGGCAGAGGAATAACTAAACTTAAGACACACCGAGCAGAGAGAGCAGGAGAGAGGGAGGGACAGAGAGAAGTCCTCACTGACGGCTAAAAAAACTAGCAGATCTGAATTGCATGTAAACAACAGAAACACCAGCAACCAGAAATGAGACAATACATTAACTGCAGCACAAAAATAAAAGCCTTGTTAAGAAATGAAGGGTTTCTGTCCACTGAAATGTTAGAGGGCTTGAATTAATAGGGTGGGAGGGTTTGTAATAATACATAATGCAGTAACTTTAACACAAAAAATGGGAGCGACTGAAAATCAGGCTTCACACTGAAATATAGCTCTGACCAATTGTGCATATAAAACAGAGGGAGTTACACAGAACAACCTGGCTCTGATAAAAGTCTGTTATGTTCTGGAGTTGAAGTAAATATAGTAAATATTGTGGACCCAGACGGAGGCTGTGCTCTCAGTGAGAACATACGAAGAACAGTCTCTCTTGTAACTCTCTCTCTTACTGACAATTTTACAGTAAATCCAGCTGAAATCACAGCTCAGTCTTGTCTTTCATTTATATGTTTGGTGATTTTGTCAGACGGTGTCGAAGTTATAAAATCAGGATATATTATATCTTATATATTAGTAAATTATAGTATGAAGCAGGTCGTAGCTACATGTTGAGATATCATCGTATCATTTCACTTTAACCCAGGTTAAACAAGTTGTTTAGACTGTGACTTAGCAGCTGTAACATTGTACTAGTGTGCAAACAGCACATTGTGATTGTGTTATTTGTGTTTCTTGTGGGGGTGATTGTGAAGGAACTTGCTTCTACTTCTTATTTAATTTAGTTTTTAAGCGCCCATACCCAACAATAGAATCTAATCTTGTAATAAACTCTAAGCTAATAAAGTATTTTTGTCCATAGAAAAAGTGAGTTATGCTTTACTCCGGGTATCTGCAGGTCTTGAAAACTCTTAACAAGCACTGAATTCACTTCTCCCCAAAAATGCATTTGAGGGTATTAAATTCTTAAATTTTAGTTACAAAGGTCCTGAATATTTTTTCCTTGCTCGCTGCAGATAGCAGCATTAGTTATACTTTTTTCTGTCGAGAAATGTTGTACTTCTATAAACTACAATGCGACTGTGCTCACAATCCTGGAGGCAGTTAAATCCCTTTTTTGTGGAAGTTACAGTCAATGCAGTCAAACCTTCAGCAAACACTGTTGCTATGGCAGCCACAGCAGCTGGAAAGCCCATCGACTACTTATGTCAATTTTTGCAAAAATGTAAATTAACCTAGATTGATTATATTACTAGAAATGATTGTTGTATACAGCTGGGAAGAACTGACAAAAGTATAATAGAAATGTAAGTAACTTCATGTTCTTGATAAAAATAATTGTGGTTTTAAAAAGGTCTTATATTGAATTATGTTGCAGGACATAAAAGTAAACACAACAGTCGTCTGAGGAAAAAAGGAGCCGACCTCAGTGAACTTCAAAGTGCCATTGAATCTATAAAGCAGACGCAGGAGGACATTAACAGGTGACACAAGCGTTAACCTCACTGTACCATGAGCATGAGATGACGCCTGTCTTCTCAGCACCTACACTGAGCTTCTGTGTGACCTTATGTCTGTGTGTTTGCAGGAGCATCAGCGTCCTGCGGAATCGTGCAGCGGGCCGGGTGGAGGGCGGCTCCTTCCTCCAGCAGCGCGACTACATCATCATCGTTTTCCTCATCCTCCTTCAGGTCCTGATCAACTATGTCTTCAAGTAGCAGCCATACCCCACGGAGAGAGTGATGCCCTTAGACACACACACACACACAAACACACATACACACACACACACACACACACACACACGCACACACGCAGTCTCACACTCTCTGAGCCTTAGGCGTCACAATGGGGTACAAAGAGACGTGAACTTTCAAAATAAGTGACTACAACAGTGTCCTCCAACTCTCTTCTTCTCTGTTAAATCCAACTGCACACGTCCAGAAAAGTGGAGACTTCAACACAAAAGGAGACTTTTTAAAACTCGTATTTATTTTGAACCAGTCCATTCCAAAACTCTTGAGAGGATCCACAGATTTCAAAGCGGAGGGGAGCAGCGATGAGGAGAAGCTGTTGGAGGTGAGATTTTGGTCTCGACTGCCACTCTGGAGCTTTCTGATTTGCCTTGATGTAAGAGGCAAAGACAGCAGCCATTTTTTTTAGCTGTTCTTTGTTTTGTTTTGTTTTTTGTTTTGTTTTGTTTTGTTTTTTTCCAATGGAGTGAAACTACTCTGTTGATTCACATTTCACCTCAAATGACAGGGAACCTTTTAACACAGAGACGAAGTCCCACGTCTCAGATGGTAACAAAGATAAAAAAAAAAAACTAACTTTAATTTTAATGTTTTTTATTGTTTTGTTTCTTTGCTTGGTGTGTCCTTTGTGAATAGGGGTCTGCTTGGAACAAAAAGTGTTGATAAGGGAGAAAAAAAAACAAAGTGGTCCAAATCTATGTGAGTTTTATTTTTTTATTATCACATACTTTCATATCGTCTGGGTTTTTAAACGCGTGGAAATAGAGTCAGAAAGACAAATAACACAAGTGATATTGTCAAAAGGAACAGAAGCTATAATTTCTGCTGTATAATAAAACTTCACCCTTTGCATACAAAGTCAATGTTAAAAAAAAAAAATTCAGATGTTTGACATAACATCATTGTATACTGTAGGTAGCATGTACAGACGGGAGCGTGGTTAGGACATTAGCCCGTTGTACAGTGTTTTGTTTTAAGGCACAAATGCACTGGAAATGTTTGTATTGTTAATACATTTTTATCAGTTCAACTTGCGCTGAAGTTGATGTCACAGAACTTTTATATTTCTGCTCTGAGGAGGTCTGGAGGACCAACAAAGAGTTCAGTGACCACTGCCCTAGTTTCAGGTAAAGGGTGTTGGATATGTTCAGTGATTGTAGTGAGACGTTGGCTTTAGCATGATAAAACAGGGGTTCACCAAAGCTAAGTGATGCAGTCTGACGCCCTGTTCAGACCTGGTATTAACATCTGTCTCAGGTGATCACAAGTGGTCAGCTCTAAGACCACATTCAGAGGTGGTCTGGACCACATGTGGTCACATTTTTTTTAGCAGTGTGAACGCACATGTGTCCTGGGCCACAATGAAGGAGCGCCTACTCGCTCTCTCTCTCTCACAAACACATGGACAACAGACCCGTCTGATTGGTTAAAGAGAACAATGTGTTTATTTGTATATAAAGCGGGGAAGTGAGATTCGATCACTAGTGGTCACTCGAGACACAGTCAGGTGTGAACCGACGTACTTAGAGCTGTCCACTTGCGATCAGATCACTGAAGACGCATGTTATTCCCAGGTCTGCACATGGCCTTAGACCTGATGGCATGTTAAAGGAATAGAACAGGAAATGCACTTATTTGTCTTCTTGAAAGTTGGATGAGAAAACCATCACTCACACAGACTGGAAACAGATGAAATGTCCAAAGGTAACACAATCCATCCACCAGCTCCTCTAAAGCCCAGTGATTAACACTTCAAACTGAATCTTGTTTGTTTACAAGTTCCTGTAAAAACTACATGTCCTGGTTTTACACGTGAGGTTATTTCTTGTCATCATTGTGAAGTCGCCAGGTAACCAAGTAGTTACTGCGCCCAGGTAAAAACTAGTCCAGAAGATACTCCACCTGTAAAATCACTGATGGCTGGATTTTGTTACCACTGAACAGAGTCAGGCTCCTGTTGAGAGTCTTTATTAAGCTAAGCTAACATTTAAGGAGCTTTAAGCAGCAATTGTTGAAGGGACGGCTATAGCATAACACAATGACGTAGATTCTATCTGGACACTTCCTACCGATGCAGCCCAAATGTCTACTGTCTCGTTCTCCTGTCTATGTCGTCACATCATGTCGTAGCCGTCCCATCAACCATCACTGCTGTAAGTCCCTGTTTACTTTAAATGAATGGAATTAATCTTACTTAACTTATAACAAGAAAGTGAGGAAGTGTATTTCCCAAAATACATTCAAACTATTTCTTTAAGATGAGTTATTTAATTGAAGAGTTAAGTTGAGTTAAGAACCATAAAGACAAAAATGGAAAATGGTGTGTAGACTAACTAAAGGCCTAAAGGATGGTCTCCAGACCAAGCCATGGAAGAGAAAACCCTTAACACTCCACCATCACGGCAAACTTCAGAGCATCAATCATCGCTTCCAGTGCTTTTGCGCCTCAGATGTTAACCAGGAAAACTAGAGATAGACACTTTAGTAAGCTACAAATGAGAGGAGAAGATAGACTTTTCTACTTACTACTATCACCATAGTATACCATTCCAAATGTACGCAAGTACCAGCCAAACTCAGTGTGTAGAGTAGGAGTCGGCCCCGTTCACTGTGTAAATATCCAACGGAACGACTCGTTCCTCGCGAGTAGCGCGTGGCGTTCCAACACCAAGGTTCGCAATACAGACACTCCTGCGCTCTGTGCACAAGCCAGTCTTTTCAACCTTGTGTGTCCTTCTGTCCACTGCTCTGTAGATACACATGGACATAGGCAAAAAAAAAGAAAAACAGATGAATCAGATTCCCATTGGAAATTAAACAGATGGCCTCAAGAAGTTGCTGTTATTCAGCAGTAGTTACTTGCAGCTTTTGAACCTTTTAAACTCAGAAATAAATGGCTGAAACACCCTGAACATTTACAGGCTTATGAGGACTATGGCTTATGAGGATGAAGTAAATTTTGAAATTCTGAAGTCTGCTTGACAACAAAGTCCAGCATTTAATGGCCGACGTACTACCCTGGACATTTGCAGGCTTATGAAGACCGACTAATTGAAAGTCTGTGTTTAGCTTTGCTACCCATGAAGATCAGTTCTCTCAACAATCTAGTTTTTTTTTTATACTGAAAATTTAGTTTGAAAAGTGACTGAACTTTAGCTGTATTTGTTTTCATTATCAGCCAAGGAAGACGGCAGCATATTAGAACTCGTACCTGACCTTTTTACCACAGTTTGTCAGGGTTTTCTTCAAAGATGCAAGTAAGTAACTACTAATCGAGGCCATTCAGAAAGATCAGACCCACTTATGGATCATATCGGAACATTGATTTTGTATATCTCTTCGCCTGTCATGATGTTAGCCTTGTCAATGTTTACATATCCAATTGCCTCCGCCGTCAGCAGACTGTTAAGCGATGCAAACTTTGTAACGCTAACACAGGTATAAAGAAAAACTGGTAGCATCGTCGGGAGCCAGCTGTACCCCCGTAAGTTACCCGGCTGGCCCGTGTGTATCTGTACATGTATTTTTGTGTATCCTCATTGCCTCAATCGCTCATCTTAATCCAGATATTAGAATGTGGAGAAATAAGTATATAACAGTGCCTTCTAGAGTCAGACTGGGGAGGGGGTAGATAGGGGGTTTAGCGGAGGATGGCAGGGATGTGGGCGGGTGTGGTGTGGAGCATACAGACGTAGCCAGAGTCCAGTTCTTAAGGTGGACGAATAGTGAAGGGAATGATCTGGACCGGGACTCTGGGACTCTGGCTGCAGCTGCGCCTGCAGTCGCTGTAGTGTTTTAGAGCGGACGTGCCATATGAAGCCTTAGAAACGAGTCTGACTCCGGCTCCACAGCTTGCCACCGCACCCGGCTCCCGCCTCCTCTCCTGAAGTGTCGCCATAGTAACGCACCTGTAGGTTTCCGGATGCTGATTCCTGCCACAGGAGAGAGAGGGAGGGAGAGAGACCTTTCCTCTCCATTGTCGTCCTCGTCTCTCTCTCGCTCTCTCTCACAACACAAAATTCAGAGGGAAATAAACATCTCCGCTGTCTGTTGTTGTTGCTGTCTCTGTAAAATAATACATTTTATTTATTACTCTTTTCTATGTGGGTTTATGTTTCATTCTTTTCTGCTCGTAGCATTAGATTCTCTCTCCTTGTTTAATGTTTTTCAAAAATGTTTTTAAAATTATGTACATTTGGTTTTATTCCACTCCTCGTTACTTGACGTCACACACAGGCAACTGTCCTCAACTTGTGCACACTGTCAAATGACAACTGCCCCACAACACCCCCCCCCTCCACCGCCACCACACACGCACACACACACCCACACACACACACATACATACCCTTTTTCCTATCTGAGTACCTGAATATATTTAATGTATCTCCATGGCAACTATAACTTCTTAGAAGTTTATGGTCACATGTAACATAACACAGAATAAAAACAAATGACACCCGGGGGTCTTCTGTCATCATTCTTTAAAGCAACTGTGTATGGCATTTATTATTCATTCTGTATTTATGGATAAAGTAACTGTGTCCATTTATATTCATTAATTTCTTTTTACTGTAAAGAGGTGAAACATTGATTAAATCTAGACCAAAACCTGAACAAGGCATCATTATGCAAATTAATAAAAAGTATAGAACCATGCGACTCAGAGAATTAAACATATATCCAAATCATCCACGCCAAGACTCGGCTGCATTGCAGAACAAATCTAAATAACATCAGGAAAACCAGCTGGTGGAAAATGAATGAATACCAATAAGATCCGTAAAATGAAAATAGATTGAAACAACCCTGATACATGGAACAAAAGCATCGCGTGTGTGATGGAGAAAGAATTGGTTTAGGATTTTATGGATTGAAATCAGATTTAATTTAGTTTGCTTGGTATTATTTAGTTTTGGATGCCATCATTCTTTTTTATCTTATGTTTTAATTTCATTTGCATTTTTTTCGGCCACGACATAACACATTTTAATCCGATCTGATAAACTTGTGCATAACTAGATAACAGGAAAAATAAAGTCTTGTTTCTTTCTTTTCTTTAATACAAGTACAGATGGTGGTGAAAAGTATAACACTCCTTTTTAACACCAGATTGGCTTTGAAGAGGCCAGATGATGTCATTTTGAATTTTAAAACTGAAATATACATTATTAGAATCACTGTGTTAAAACTAATGCAGTCTAATACAACAGTCTTGCCAGAACTCCCTCTTCATCAGCGTTATAATGTTCAGTTTGTGTTAAAAAGGTGTTGATTCCACCTTATGGTCATGTTCCTTTATACTAACATGTTTCTATTATTTTGTTCCAAGGCAATAAAATTCAACAACACCACAATCTACATCCTCTAAAATGATCATACAGTTGTATCTACACCTCTTTAACAGTTTCAACAAAAGCTGAACCTCCATGAAAGAGGATTTACTGCATTTACTGGTCTATTAGGCAGCGTTAGGTTTAGCTAGGTGTTCCTCATCCTAATAAACAAACCTTAATTCATTGTTTGTTGCTTTTTGTTTCAGAGATCAACTTTCTGCACCCAAAGATTCAAAGGTTTTATGTGTCATTCACAAGCAATGTATGTTGTGAAAGGAGCAGGCTGGCATCTCTAAGCTGTACTAAAAGACAAGTGTGCAATGAATAATGATAATAGAAAAAAGAAATATTAAAATTCAAAGATGAAAAATTCTAAATGTGTTCTTCTAAATGAGCATTAAAATTCATGTATGCTGATCCCAGTAATTATATATCAGCCCTTATAAGCTAGAATTGTTCAAATGTTTAAACCAGTAAATGAAACAATGGTTATAATTTCATTTGGCTGCTTAAATGAAAATTTGATTGCTTGACATTTCAAGTGATAAAATCATCAAAGGGGATCATTTTCAAGATTCACTGTTTGAAAGCATTTGGTCGAGGCACCATTAGAGGGGGATGTAGAGTCTTTTTTTTCCAGCAGAGGACCAGTTGGTTTAAACTGATCAGAGCTGACAGTGTGATTTCCTCAACCACACATCTACATCCAGCTGTGACCCTAGTGCATCAGGTTTTCTAATAATCTGCCACTTCTAGGCAGCCTGCAGGTTGCACAGGGTTGAGGCCAGACTGGTGCAGTTTCATAGGGAGAGATCATGTCTTAAAGGAACTGTTGCCCTTGAGCTAGGTGGCAACCAGAGGCTCTGATTGTTCTGCAGCAACATTAAGGCATGAAAGTGATGCAGGGTTAATCATGTTCTTACAGAATATTTTCCACACTTTATTTATCGA